TTGCCCAACACATGCAAGCCATGGTATATACAACCACATATCATCACACTCACACAACAGTAATAAATACAATTCAAAAGCAGTAACAACACCAACAAACTTAATACCATACTGGATTACTGGATTTGGGATGCGAATGTGCAAACTGGGGTTTCAAAGCTATCCATTATGACCATAAGATTCTGATTCTTCTTAGTCCATCCAGTTAACTATCATCCAAACTTAAGTCAAGAGCAGTCAGCTAAAATAGTCAATGGCTGAGAAACATCTAATAAAATCTGATTGATTCGACAGAGTTACTCAGACTGGGTACAATCTTTTATGTGGAGCATGTGGAATTTGTGTGTAAACATGTTCTTAGTCCTTTCCAAGAGCCATCTATACAAGCATTAAAAGCAATCTCTATAGGATATTAAGACACAACTTTAGGCAATTCCCACTATTTTTATAAAACTTTAAAAAGAGGATCTTTTTTATAGATAACAAGTAATATGTTAATGAGACCTGCCAATTATTAACTGTTTGGAACAATTTACCTGCATTTTACTTAGTGGAAAAATAATTTTGTAGGCTCTTTATCTCTATGAGCTCCTCCCTTAGCAGCCACATTACTTAATAAGCTAATAACCTGTTCTCTTCCAGGTATTACATTTTTTGTGGAATTTAACCAAGAGTTTCCAGAAAGCAACAGAAAGAGCGGAGCCAAATCCTCAATAGTGATAAACAGAGAAGAGTGTGCCCAATGGTATAGTTCAGGGTTAGGAATTTTGCTCTTTCAGTTTATTTACTATGAAAATTAAGTATTCATTTAAGCAATCATTGGAGAACAGAACATCCTCCATATAAAATAACTAATACCCCTGGAAATTTACACAGCATTGGTTTAGTACTTTATGCCATGGCTATGATTGTTTCTGTACAAGAAGTTGGGCTTGTTTTAATTTTTTCCCCCACTGACATTGAGTTATTCCTGGTGAGGGAAAAAACAAAAACCATTTAAACAAAAATCAAGCAAACAAGAAAATTCTAAATTCTGAGCTAGCTGTGCTACAGCTCATGTTACAGCAGTGGAGCCCCGTCCATCATTCATTGGAACCCACATGCTGCCACTCTGGTGGGCCCTGGGCAGAAAGGGCTGACAGGCAGCTCACAGCCACAGAGCTTTGAGTTCCAGCTGCCATTAATTCCTTTGAATCTTTCAGAATAATTCTATTCTGAGCAGCCCAAGTATTTAAAATCTGTCTTACATAGGGTGAATGCATTCCATGACACTGCTTCCTTAAACCTGTCAATTTTGCAGGTCTCCAATCAATCTGAACATAGCCCTGAGGATATATTTGTGGGCACTTGCTGCATAGTAACTGGAAACACTAGAGGTGGTTGGTGTCTTTATGACCTTAGGCAACCATTCCTCAATGCCTTCATAGGGAGGTGCCATAGGACCTTGATTAAACAATTCCCCTTTTTTACTGGGAAGAGCCTTTTTCCTTCCTTTGTTTGCCTCTGAAGCTATTCTATTTGGATCTGTAATTTTTGCAATTGTGCAGTCAATTCTTCAACTTCCCCCTTGCCTAAGTCTGTCTCATCTGAAGGAGGAGGAGAGGAGAAAACTCTTCTCCTCCATCCTGGCTCTCCACACTTTCATCTTCCTCTGAAAAAACATTGTCCTCTGCTGACTGACAGTTCCTAGCCAGAATGTCCTCCTCCTTACTTGCATTTCCTAGATCTGACCCAGTCTTTTCTGACTCTTCATTTTGCAGCAGCCCAGAGCACTGGGAATTAAATTACATAAAGACCAAGTCTTTAATGGTATAGCCACCCCTGATAAGCTCACCTCAAGGGTCTCAGCTTGAGGATTTGCCTGAAACCAGTAACAATGCTATTTGATTAACAAAAAAAGTTTGGTAATCTTCTCTTTCACTTTTACTCTATTTCCTTGTAGTGAACATTTTAACAACTGCACATAATGCTGCTCCTGAGATAGGGAATTCCCCAAGTCCCAGCCAAAATCCTGGAGTCTTCACTTAGACATGAGAGTACTTACCTCCAATCCAGGAGTACCCAGACCCTCATTTCCTTTGAGCCCCACATTTAGTAAATTGAGTAATTCTGGTAAACTGAGTCACGCAGGACAACTTAAGAAAGAGAGCCTTGCAAGGTTGCTCAGGGTTCCCTTGAGGCTGTCCCCACTGCTCCTTCAAGGTTTCATTCCATCCTTGAGTGGCTCCCTTTCTCCAGACTGACTCAGTTTACCAGCAACTCAGTTTCATTTACCTTTTTTTTTTTTTTGGTTTTTCGAGACAGGGTTTCTCTGTGGCTTTGGAGGCTGTCCTGGAACTAGCTCTTGTAGACTAGGCTGGTCTCGAACTCAGAGATTCACCTGCCTCTGCCTCCCGAGTGCTGGGATTAAAGGCATGCGCCACCAACGCCCGGCTCATTTACCAATATTTTTGTCAAAGCTATTTCAATTTATTTTACAAGGCTTTTTTGTTTGTTTGTTTAAGATTTATTATGCATATAGTGTTCTGCCTACATGCAAGAGAGCACCAGATTTCATTATAAATGGTTGTAAGCCACCATGTGAATACTGCAAAGTGAACTCAGAACCTCTAGAAGAGCAGAGAAGTGCTCTTAACCTCTGAGCCATCTCTCCAGCCCAAAGTTTTGTTGTTTTTGTTTTTTTAAATGTCATTTGTTAAGACTTAAAATATATCACACTATCTTAACTATAAAAGCTCTATCATAACCCAGGCATGTGGCACACACCACTAATCCCAGAAGTTAGAAGGTAGAGGCAGGAGGATCTGTGTTTGAGGCCAGCCTGGTCTACATAGTGAGTTCCAGGACAGCCAGGACTACTAGAAAGATTCTGTCTCTAAAATAAACAAACAAATAAATAAAATAACAAAAAGAATGAACTTTCCTTTTTAAAGATTTTTTTAAAAGTTTTATTGTATGTGCATACCTGCACACATGTATGTGCACCAAATACAAGCTTAGACCCAGCAATGGCCAGAAGAGGGCATCATTTCCCTGGAACTGGAGTCAACAGGTTTTTGTTTTGTTTTGTTTTTCTATACATTACAGTTTGTAAATTGTCATATGGGCTATGGGAAACAAATCTGGGGCCTATGCAAAAGCAGTAAATGTTTTTAACCACTAAGCCATCACTCCAGCTCTAAACTTTCTTGTCAATAATACTATTTAAAATAAATTCTAGTAGCAAAAATTATATTAGTGCCGGATGTTGGTGGCCCATGCCTTTAGTCCCAGCACTCGGAAGGCAGAGGCCTGTGAGTTCAAGGCCAGCCTGGTCTACAGAGTGAGTTCCAGGCCAGCCTCCAAAGCTACACAGAGAAACCCTGTCTCGAAAAACCAAATAAATAAATAAATAAATAAATAAATAAATAAATGTAAACCTAGGAGTTAACTCTGGACTTTTTATTTTTTTCAATCACTAAAGTCTGTTGCTCTCTCACTGTATTTCTAGCTTTCTTTGAAAATAGAATATAAATTGTAGTAATTTTGGGAGAATTGCTGAATGAGAAATCAAATGGAAAAATGCTAAAATGCGAGCAATTGCACCTTACTTTGCATGAAAAATCTTCATTGAACACCCCAAATGAAAAAGGAAACTATAACTAGATATCAGTACCAACTCCTAGGCTACAAAAGAAGTCATCTCACAGGGAGAAAAAGTAACAACTAGGATTTTTTTTTCTTTTAACAAGCTTGAAGATGCACAAATCTCTTTTAAAGCCTGACCTCCAATGACATGGGTGGGAAAATATCTCTACTTCCAACAGACCTAATAGTCAAACAAAAAGATTTCACAAGCAGGGGGCTAAGAAAAGAACACCAGTGATATCTACTTGCTTTATAAAATCATGAGTAAAAAAAAAGGGAGTTATTTTTAAGAATTTCTCCTGACGGATGTCAGCATTCTATCTTTCATCTGTAGTCTTAAAAACAGAAACTACTAACCTTCAAGAGAAAGTAGACTCTGCTCTGCAGAACAACATCCCCCAAATCTTCCCCAGAACAGATCTAGAGTTGGAAAACTCGTTGCCTTTTCTATGCAATAACACCTAGGCCATCTTTCTCAATCACCTCCCAAACACAAACTGAAGGGTTCCCTCATCATTTCTATATTACTTTATTTCTTTAAAAAACAAATCATGATTTTAGTGTAGTCATCTTCTCTAGAGTATGAATTCCCAGCAGGCAAAGCAATACCCACTGCTACTCTTCCTAATCTTTAAACTTAACACTTGTAGAAGTATTCCACAAAGGTCTGCTGAATAAGAAAAGAAGCTAAACATTTCAATCAGAGTAACTTTTATGGGAAGAATCATTTTATCAGTATAAAACCTCCTAACATCTCATGCCTTCAATTCTGCTCCTTTCTCTTTAGGAACTTCCCATTAGCCACTAGGTAAAACAGTACAGTATCCCAAGAGCTGGAGAAAGAATTTCTCCACTTTGGCTTGCAAAAGCGTCTAATAAAGTACTTAGGGATTAGTCTGAAGAACAGAGAACATAGTTCAGAATTTCAAGAGCTTGTATTGAGAAGCCAAGACACAGGATGAGTCTTGAAATGCTTACATTTAAAAGCAAAAGGCAAAAAAAAAAAAAAAAAAGCAAAAGGCAACAAGGAAAAAATTTCACATTTTAAAAGACCCAAACTACTTACTTCTAGTATTTAAGAGACAAAATAATAATGACAACCTCCAGTTTAAAAAAAAGGCATTAAGATCTACGTTATAACCCTCAACTATAGAGAAACTCAATGGCCTGAGTCCCTTCTCTAATACTTGTTAGCCAAACCACTTTGCACAATTATCCGATTAAATAACCCTTTGAAGTAAATCCTGGCATAAGAAAGTTTTCTTTCTCATCAATTTAAGAAAATTCAAAACAGCATTCCAGTTTAAGCTCATTACCATGGAAAGAAAATGTCTCAATACGTTTTATAAGCCATTCTTTGGTTACCATGTTACCTTGGTTAGAGTCCCCTGGGTCTTCTATATGAGCAATGACTTTGCTGAGATAAATATCCTTCTGTTTTTCTAGATCTGATTGTGAAAACATCCTTGAATAAAGCAAACCAGGAGGAAAAAAGTCCATTAGAACCATGAATATAGTGCTTTGTAGAAAAGTCACATATTGATAGTTAAAACAACCAACTTTCAGAGGCAATCTCTAAGATCCAATGACAAGAGGAGGTAATATTAGTCACAGTACAAAACGGAAATCAAGCATAGAGTTTAAAAGTAAAGGAAAGGGCTGGAGAGATAGCTCAGCCATTAAAGGCTAGGCTTACAACCAAAAATATAGAAGTAAAGGAAAAAAAGAAATGTAACTCATGATAACAAAAAATATCAGAAGGTAAAAATGAAGTAGCTCACAGAGAAAGAAAGCATTTGTTGCTGGGCATTGGTGGCACACGCCTTTAATCCCAGCACTCAGGAGGCAGAGGCAGGCGGATCTCTGTGAGTTCGAGGCCAGCCTGGTCTCCAGAGGGAGTGTCAGGATAGGCTACACAGAGAAACCCTGTCTTGAAACACCAAAAAACAAAAAAAAAAAAAAAAAAAAAAAAAAAGAAAGAAAGCATTTGTTGAGTCATTCAAGTTTAACCAACTTCATAGAGCCACACAGAAAAAGTTGAATGAGATCATGATCTTGGCAACAACGATTTCTGGTCCTTGTTAATACCAATAGCTCTGTATGAAAAGAATCATCGGTGGATGAAAATATTGAAATTGTAAATTTATTAGTGTTCCAAGTAGCCTTATTTGTATGTTTCAGTATAATTTCACTTTTAAGAAATTCACAAAGTGGGGCTGGAGAGATGGCTGGAGAGACTGCTCTTCTGGAGGACCTGTGGTTCAATTTCCATTACCCACATAGCAGCAGCTCACAACTTTAACTCCAGTTCTAGAAGACCTGACACCCTCTCCTGGCTTCTGTGGACATTATACACACAAGTAAAACACCTATACACAAAAATTAAAAACAAAATTTCAAAAAAAGGGAAAAAAATTGACAGCTTTCCTCAGTTATTTGGCAAAAGAAATCGAACCCACACAACTAAAATTTAGTGGCAAATAACCTTATTTGTCATTTTTAAATGTTTAAAGCAGAATAAATATGGTGTAAGTGTATAAAAAAAAAACTTTTCTCAATTTCATTGTAAGTAAAGCAATGGATTCAACCTAAAAAGTACCTTTTCCAGTACATCCAATTGAAAATGCCCATGTACAGATACTGCCATCTCCTGGCAACAAAAAAGTAAACTAAAAAGATGCCTCAAATCTGCAACCCTAATTAATATTTGCTTCCAGTTGTATGCAAGAAAAGAAAAATAAGACTAAATTATTTTCTAAGAGAATTTTAACCTTTTTTGGTTAATATTCTGACTTCTTTTCAAACATATGATCAGGCCTTCTAATACATGGGAGAAATCTTTGAATTTATATATTGTCTCACTAGCATGTCTTTTTTACTTTCAACATAACCTAGTGAGGCTGTAGAAAAGACATTAGCTTCATTTCACTGATATAGAAACTGATTGGAGACATCATTTGATTTGCTCAAGGTAACACAAACAGGTAACTTCAGAATTTCAAGTCTGTTTATTCTTTCTGCAGGATTCCCCCCCCCCCCAACACACACACTAAGAAGATATTGAGAAGGGGAAGAAAGAAATGAAAAGAGAACCACCAGAAACTAGAATGGTTGGTTATATGTTACATTACCTGGTTCTGGTTTGTAGAACAGGAATGACTTTGCCTAGTCTTCTCTCACTTTTCACCTCACCAGAATCCTTGTCAAAAGTATGCTAATTTGTTGTTTTCCAGAACAGATGGAAGAAATACAACAAGAAACATAATTATTAGTTGTAAGTAATTTTTATAATTTTCAGCTGTATCATATAGCTGAACACTTCATTACGAGAATATAATTTTGTTGTTGTTTTGTTTTTCAAGACAGGGTTTCTCTGTATAGCCCTGGCTATCCTGGAACTCACTCTATAGTCCAGGCTAGCCTCAAACTCAAGAGATTCACCTGCCTCTGCCTCCAGAGTGCTGAGATAAAAGGCATGCACCATTACCACCCCAGCAAACTTCATTTTTTTTTTTTTTTTTTTTTTGGTACTAGGGATTTTAGCTAGTGCACGCTAGTCATATATTCTACTGCAGAGTTAAGTATATAGGAACCCTTATGAATGAGAGTAATTTCATTTCTACTGTGTCTTGAAAACATGTACTTACTCTGTTTGATGAACTGGACACAACTGGAATTCTCACTTCACAACCTGATTTATGTGATCCACTATTTTTCCAGGATGATCCCCTGTTAGGTACTTCTGAATGGTTGGAGATCTGAGAGAACACAGGGGTAGGTTTCTTACTTTCAGGTACGTTTTTATCAGAGGCAGTTTGTTCGATGTTGTTATTTGAAGGAGAAGAAAGCAGGGGCCCATCCCGAGCAGAGTTATCGGGACTGACCCCTTCAGGTTCAGTGCAATGTTTACTCTCATTAGGATGAAGGTCATCTTCTCCAATCCGTTCCCCAAGGGAAGCAGGGTTTTCTGTATCTTTGGAGGAATCAACCTTGTCCTTAGCAAGCACAGGATCACAAACTGTTGGATTAAATGGTGCAACAACAGTTACTTTTATAAGATTCTTTTCAAGTACAAAGTGTCTGTTTAATGATTTACTAGGAGTTGGTCCATGACCAACTGATGTACTTAGTTGAGGTAGTTTGAAGAAGCCAGGGGTCTCAGCTGCTGGCCCCAAGCTGTACAAAGAATTTTCGCGACGAGTACCAGGTAGAATTTGACACTTTCTCTCTCCATACTCATGCCCACCATCATCATCCTTCAAGAGCATCTCAATCTCTTCCTCTGTGAAACTGAAATGGCCATCATCTTCTTCTCCATCAGAAAACTCCAACAAGGAGTCATCCAATTCATCTTCATCTGAGGAACCCCAAGAAAATGAGGCATTGTCTTTAGGCAAAAAAGAGGTACCAGAAGACTGTTCAGAGGGCAACAGTGAGCACGTCATATCTGAAAAAATATGAGGAGGTTTTGTTGAAGAGCAAGAAATAACTTAAACCGACTCCAATCTACTATATAGAGAGAAGCATCCTAGTATCTCAAATTCTGTGCTTGCACTGTGATTTGTAAACTTGAGAAATGATGAAGATATTATCATTACCAGCATTATGGAAATAAATGTTTAAGATACATTTTTCCCAATCACAATGAAAATTAATTAAGATGACTGATAATCTGTGTTGGTGAAGCTGTAGAGACAAGCACTTACTACTAGTAAGAACATAAGTTAATATATTTTGTGAAGAGTAACTTGGCAATACTATCTGATCTAACAATCTCACTTCTGGAAATTTATCATATAGAACTACCTACTACAAATGTACATGGAAACACAAGATGTGCAAGGAAGTATTATTCTAAGTAGTCAAATACTAAAGGCAACCTAAACATCTGCCTCTAAGAGAAATGTTTAATAAAATCATGAGACATTTGTGTAAAAAACATTTTCAACTATTTAAAAGCACATTAAATAACTTTATATGTACTACCATGGGATGACTATAATATACAAGCAAAATAAATGTTTTGTAAAATGTTTAGACACAAAATTTACACTTTTGAAAAAGAAAACAGTATTACTTTCCTGTTCTGGTGACTGAGCCTGGAGCCTCATGCATGCACTTCCAGCCCTCTATAGTGAATTACATCCCCAATTATTTTTTACTTTTTAATTTTAAATAGGGTCTTACTAACGCATACAGATTGGACCTAACTTATTCAATCAAATCTTGAATTTGCAATTCTCCTGCCTCAGCCTTCACAGAAGCTGGGATTCCAGGCCTATGACTCAACTTAAACATGTATTATTTTTTAAATGAAATGAAATTGAAAAAAAAAATTCGGGAGGAGAGGGAAGGAGATAAATGTTGCTGAGTATAGTGGTACATGCCCTTAATCCCAGCACTCAGGAGGTAAAAGCAGGTGAATATTATAGGTCAGCCAGAGCTATACAGTGAGACCCTGTTTCAAAAAAAAAAACAAAAAACAAAAATTAAAAGTCTTCCATACTGTGCGGAGCTGCTGAAGCAATCTCTGCCTTTGCCACGAGACCAAATGGAAAAAGGTTTCAACTCCTGCTGGCTGTTCCTTTCAGGAGACTTGTCAAAGTGATTGACTCCCACCTTCCTGCAGGCACAAAGAAAATGAAAGGATCTTCTCATCACTTTCAACTCTGCTAATTACAAAGTCAACTGCATTATGCTTCAAGGTGTTCCATCTATTAATTTTGATCTTGAATTTTTTTTAAAATACCAGCAAGTTGGATTATTTTCAGTGAAGAACACCAAAGAAAAATCTTTAGAAGGAAAAAATTATGCAACTAAGAACTGGTTTAGTTCCTCCCAACAACTGCCACTTTCTTTTTTTTCTTTTTGGAGACAGGGTTTCTCTGTGTAGTTTTATAGACCAGGCTCGCCTTGAGCTCACAAAGATCTGCCTGCCTCTGCCTCCCAAGTGCTGGGATTAAAGGTGTGTGCCACCACTGCCCAGGAAGAACTGGCACTTTCGTAAGACTATTGTCTGCTTTAGTGGGGTAAATAAGTACTGAGAGTCCTGAGTCCTAGCTCTGTCACTAACAAGCCCTATTCATTAGTCACTTAACCATTTGGATTTGTTTCTTTATAAAATAGAAAAAGGTTGGAGGAGAACTAGACTCTACCAAATTCTAAAAATTATGACCATAGCAATCAACCCTCTTCTTCATTTTTAATATATATAAAACACAAAGAAAAAGTCAGTAAAGACATAAACACAATTGTTCATTATTACCAAATACAGGGTCAAGCATCAATGTCCTTCTATTCTTTTTCTACTTGAATATGGCTGAGTAGTTTAGTGCTTGCTTAGTTAGCATACATAAGGGGCTGGGGTAACAGGCACACACCACCACACCCACTTTATGTAATACTGGGGATCCAGCAGAGGGCTTTGCTCATGCTAGGCAAGTGCTTGTTTTCTCAGAGTCTCATATACTCCAGGCTGGCATCCAAATCACTATGCAGTGGAGGATGATGGCCTTGAACTGATCCTCCTCCCTCCACCTCCCAAGTGCTAGCATTAAAGGAATTACCTCTAGACTGGCTTCCTTTACAGCTTTTTAAACTGTAACATTTCCTTCACTTTACTACCCTCCATACCAGACCTTGACTTTTAGCTTTAATTCATACATTCCTTCAGCAATAATTTTCTGAGCTACATAGTATGTCTCTATAACTTCTGAGAAACAAATATAATTCCTAACTTCCCAGAACATATAATTTTTGGGGTTTTGTTGTTGTTGTTTGTTTTGTTTTTCAAGACAGGGTTTCTCTGTATAGCCCTAGCTGTTCTGGAAATTGATCTGTAAACCAGGCTGGCCTCAGACTCAGAGAACCTCTGTCTCCCAAGTACTGGGATTAAAGGTCTGCACCATCATGCCTGGCAACATATAATCTTGTTAGCAAGGAAACACCAAAAATTAAGTTTTAATATGAGATAATAAGATGGTATAGACAATAAAGTATTAAAGAGAAAAGAGGAGAAAATACAGCATTTTACAATTAGAAGGGATCTAGTTAACTCAGAGTGATGGCCAAGCATGGTGGTGATGCCTCTAATCCCAGAACTAAGGAGAAGCAGGCAAACTCTGAATTCAAGGTCAGCCTGACTTGTACATTGAGCCAGCCAAAGTTATACAGCCTCAAACATCCTGTTTCAAAACATAAAATAATTAATAGTAAAATAAAATTTAAAAAGCATGATTAGGGCAGAAAGAAAATAAAGTCAGTGACTAAGTTATTTTATAGGTTAAAATCACCCTTTTTGAGAGCAGTAGCAGTGCTTACTTTTAGAGAAGTGAAAGTATTATTATTTTTTTTTTAAGTTTAAAAAAACCTTGCTGAGGGCTGGAGAGATGGCTCAGTGGTTAAACACACTGGCTGCTCTTCCAGAGGGCCCTGGTTCAAATCCCAGCACCCACACAGCAGCTCACAACTGTCTGTAAACTCCAGTTCCAGGGGATCTGATACCCTCACACAGACATACTTGCAGGGAAATACCAATGTACATACAACAGAAATAAATTATTAAAAAGAAGAAGATCCAAGGGCGTTGGTGGTGCATGCCCTAATTCCCAGTACTTGGGAGGCAGAGGCAGGTGGATCTCTGAGTTTGAGGCCAGCCTGGTATACAGAGCAAGTTCCAGGACAGCCTCCAAAGCAATACAGAGAAACCCTGTCTCAAAAAACCAAAAATAAAAGAAAAAGAAAAAAAAAAAAAGAAAGAAATCTTGCTGGGCTGTGGTGGCAAGCACCTTTAATACCAGCACCTAGGAAGCAGAGGCAGGTGGATCTCTGAGTTTGAGACCAGCCTGGACTGCAGTAGCGCATACTATAATCCCCCTACTTGGAAACCAGAATGGGCTACACAGCAAGGATTATCAAAAAAAACAAAACAAAAACAAAAAACAATTTCAGGTTATTAAATACAAATATCACAAGCCCTGAGCTCAAGCAGCTTTTCTTTCTTTTTTTTTTCTGAGACAGAGTTTTTTTGTGTAGCCCTGGTTGCTCTGAATCTCACTCTCTAGACCAGACTGGCCTCAAACTCAGAGATCCACTTGCCTCTGCCTCCAAAGTGTTGGGATTACCACCCAGTTCATAACTTCATTTCTTAGAAGCCCTTTCTGAGCCACTGCCCCTCATCCCAATAACTCCAAAAACATATAGTTCAAGCACTTGCTTGACCAAATGCAAATGTTCAGTAAATTTTCATAGTGAAAGCTGGGAGAAATTAAGTAACTTAAATCACTATATAATAATGCTAGAGCAAGAATCCAAACTAAAGACTAATTCCAAAGGTAATCTTTTCCTCTCTCTTTAGTGATAGACTTGCCTCCAGGGCCAGTTGGCAAATGGAAAAATTAGAATTCAAACCTAGGCCTTCTAAATTTAGTATGCTTGCTAATAAATTATGGGATTATGTAGATATTGAAGACAGATTTTTATTACTTGGAAAAATAATTTAAATTACTTTAAAATGTACCAGAAGCTGCCCTTGGCCTCACCCATCATCCAAAGTCACAAAACTGGCTCTTTTGAGCCTCTCTCATAATGTCCCAAATGGCAAAAGCATCCAAAATGATATCATATACAAACAGAGCGGCAAACAGAAACAAATTTAACTCACACAAGCCATTCTCTTTGCAACTTTCCTGAATTTCAAAAATTCTTTTTATTATAATTTAAAACAAGTAAGTAGGCCTGGCATGGTGAATGCCTTTAATCCCAGCAGATAGCCTCCAAAGCTACACAGAAACCCTGTCTTGAAAAACAAAACAAAACATGCACAAGAATAAAAAATACCAAATTCAGGATAGCAAGAACTTCTGGTAGTGACAAGGAAACAAGAACGGCAAGGGGACATGCATCAGTCTTGCTGTTATTTTTTGTTTTGTTTTTAAGAGATGGTCTCAACCCAGACTATCCTGAAACTTGCCAAGGATACAGCCAAGGATAATCTGAATTCCTGATTCTCCTTCCTTCCTTCCTTCCTTCCTTCCTTCCTTCCTTCCTTCCCCTCCCAAGTCCTAGAACTATGGGAACCACACTAAGGTTTTTAATCAGTAACAAAAAACCCAACAAATATGGAGATGAAAGATAAACCTGGACAGTGAGTATAATCATTATCTACCTTGCTTAATTTTTTATATGTTTGAAATATGTAATAAGAAATACTTTCAGGGGATGACAAGATGACTCAGTGAGTAAAGGTACTTGCCCTACTGGCCGGGTAATCTGAATTCAATCTCTAGTACCAGGTAAAAATAGAAGGAAAGAACCACCTAGTTTTCTTTTGGACCTCCACTCCCACACCATGTACATGCACAGAAACACTCACCACACACTACATAAATTAATTAGAAAAAAATTAATTAAAAAAAAAAATGGAGCCCGGTAGTGATTGCTCACATCTGTAATCCCAGCACTTGAGAGACAGAGATCTGAGTTCTGAGTTCAAGACCAGTATGGTCTACAGAGCAAGTTCCAAGACAGCCAGCTATACAGAGAAACCCTGTCTTGAAAAACCAAAACTAAAACAGACAAACAAACAAAAATTTGGGTTTGATCTTTTTGAGACAGGGTCTCACTCTATATCCCTGGTTGGCTTGGCACTCACTAAGTATACCAGCCTGGCTTTAAAATTATAGGTGGGTATGGTGACATGCACCTAGAATCCCATCACTCAAGAGGCAGAAACAGATGGATCTCTGTGAATTCAATGCAAACCTGGTCTACACTGTCAGTTCAAGGCCAGCCAGCAGGGCAGTAGAGACTCTGTCTCAAGAAAAACAAAAACAAAAACACAAAACACCACAATAAAAATTAAGTTATAAAGCCAGTGTGAAAAAATACACCCCAAGTCTCAAATAAACAGGAAACTTCACAATACATCAGTCTCACAAGGTTATTAACAAGAACAAGTAAGACTATGAACATGGGCATTTAGTACACTACAATTAAGACGTGGTGGCTACGGTTATAATTTCAACATACAACCTACATCTCACCTTTAGAATCTTAAACACAGGAATGTCAGGGGAAAGGATAAACTGGTAAGAAACTTCCCCCAGACCCACTTTAGATATTATTCAGTATAATCTGCTTAGTGAAACATCTAACCATATTGTCACTGTACCAGACTAGATGGAGGATAACTGAAATATCAGTTAAATTCTTCCAATTAATGGCCCATGAAGTGTCTTACATTAGAAGCACTAGGCTAAAATCCAAAGACCTCATTCATTTGAAGTCTCTGAACTTCAATATAAATGAGCCCACTCATCTGTATTCCTAGCATTGAAGAGGGTGAGTTCAAGGCTACCTGAGGCTCCATTTCCAATTCCAAACCAGTATGGGCTACGTTGGAGAAAGGTGGGGGGGGGGGATCGAGGTGTTTGAGATAAAGTCAATATGAATTTTCAAGGGAGGAAAATCTTCAATAAAACTGAAATTTCTCCAAAGGCATGGTGGCACACGCCTTTAATCCCAGCATTTGGGAGACAGAGGCAGATGGATCTCTGAGTTCCAGGCTAGAGCCAGGGGTACACAGTGAGAACCTGTCTCAAAATAATAATAAGCCTGAAGCTCTTTTTTTTTTGGTGGTGGGGGGGTTCTGAGACAGGGTTTCTCTGTAGCTTTGGAACTTGATCTATAGACCAGGCTGGCCTGGAACTCAGAAATCCTCCTGCCTCTGCCTGCTAAGTGCTGGGATGAAAGGTGTGTGCCACCAACGACTGGCCAAGACTGAAGCTCTTAAATTCCACAATTACTCCTCTCCCATGCACCCATCACCTGCACTTGGCAC